CGGGGTATCGGGGGGCGTCGGGGGGCGAAAAGGCGTTGTCGTGGCGGCAAAAGGAGCCCGCGTCTCTCTGTGTTGCCCAGGCTACGCTGCAGTGGCTATTCACAGGCGCGATCCCGCTACTGACCGGCACGGGAGCTTTGACCTGCTCCGTCTCCGACCTGGGCCGGTTCACCCCTCCTTAGACAACCTGGTGCCCCCCGGCTCCCCGGGAGTCACCATATTGATGCCGGCCTTAGCGCGGACGCCCGCTCGGCATAGCGCACTGCAGCCCAGAACTCCTGGGCTCAAGCGATCCGGCGGGCTCAGCCTCCCGAGTAGCTGGGACTACAGGCACGCGCCACCGGGCCCGGCGCTGGGCAGCGGCCGCCGCCGCCCCTACAGCGCCTTCCCGCCGCGCCCTCACGGCCCTGCCCCGTCCCCTGCTTCTTCCCCTCCTCGGTGCCCCCCTTCCCGCTCCCCCTCAGCACACAGTCCTGTAGTGGCCGCTGAGGGGGCAGCCGGGCTGGCCGAGGAAAGGGAGCCCCTGAGAGAGCCGCCGCAGCCCCTCGGCACAAACCCCGGCTCACTCCTGGCACCATTGTTAGGAGGGGGCTCCCGGGGCAGCGGAGGATGGAAGGCATCTCTTTTAATGAAGTAATGTCTTTAAATGAGTATTCCCAGGCCCCCTCCCTCCCCATATACAAACACCTTTTTTCCCCTCCGTTCCCCTCTCCCCTCTGTTCTCTCCCCCGCTTTGAGGTGCGGCCCTTGCTCCTCCGTCCTGGCTGGAGTTCCCCGGTGTGTCGGTGCTGCTCATGCCTCAGCGTTAACGGACCCTGGTACCTCATTGATGCAAAAGGAAACTGGGTCCCGCTATCTCGCCCAGGCTGTGCCACAGAGACTGTTCACAGGCGCCATCCCGCTACCGATCAGCACAGGAGTTTTGACCTGCTCCGTCTCCGACCTGGGCCGGTTCACCCCTCCTTAGGCGACCTGGTGGCCCCCGGCTCCCCCAGGACCACCATATCGATGCTGAACTTAGCGCGGACGCCCGCTCGGCACAGCTCGCTGCAGCCCAGAACCCCCGGGCTCAAGCCGTCCACCAGTTTCAGCCTCCCTGGCGCTTGGATTACAGGCACAAGCCACCGTGCCCGGCTATTTTTCAGGCTTTTGCAGATTCCTCGACATCCATCTTGTGCAAGCTCTGCCCGGCCACACTGTGGCAGTGGGGAACTGAGAGAATGTCCTTGGGCGGCTTGTATTTTACGTTTAAAAATGGGTGGATGGGTAGACAGGAAAGATTTCTGAGCGCAAGCAGATTTCAAGCAGCTGAGAAACCCCAGACTTCTCATTCTGTGCCAGAAGAGGCACATCATGATGCTCTGTTTTCATTTTAAGCCAAGTGAGGCGCATCAGGCCGCTCTGACTCCAGGACAGCTCTGTATGCTTCATTTACAAGAGATGTTCCACTCCCTGCTTTGAAATACTCCTCATAGAGAAAGGCTTCTTGATTCGGCAGTGTTTTCCTAAGAGTGTAAAGCTCAGAGCCGAGGATACAAATGAGCTGTGACAGTAAATACCCGATGGAACAGACTAATGAGACACTCCTGGGAGCTGGAGCCCCGTCTTGGTCTGGAGCTGCCTAAGCCAGCCATGTTTGAGGGATGCTTACTGACTCGCAGGTGTGCAGGGTCTCTGAGCCAGAAACACGATGGGAAATTCTGTTGCCTGTCATTTCCCATTTTAGTAGTTACATCTAAATGGATCCCAAAGGTCTGGCTGGATCCTGCACTGTTGGCATTTTACTGCTGCAAGAAATCACAACACACACCACCAAAACGTGAGCACACCTGAGTGAGCAAGGCTGGGGCAGCATCCTGCTGAGGGATCTGGGGGAGTTGGGAACGGTCAGGGTGAGGCTCATGGTTGGGCTGGAGGAGCTTCAAGGGCTTTTCCAACCCAGATGATTCTGAGATTCTGTGATATAGGTCAAACATCTGCAGGAGAAGCTTCTGCCTTTCTGCAGTATTATCTGACCCTTTTGTGCTTGCTCCCCCACACAGACAGCTGATCAGCGGAGGGTCGTGCAGGGAAAAGATGCCAAAAGAGGCTGGGTCCCGCTCTCTCGCCCGGGCTGTGCCACAGGGACTGTTCACAGGCGCCATCCCACTACTGACCGGCACGGGAGCTTTGACCTGCTCCGTCTCCGACCTGGGCCGGTTCACCCCTCCTTAGGCGACCTGGTGGCCCCCAGCTCCCCCAGGACCACCATATCGATGCCGGCCTTAGCGCGGACGCCCGCTCGGCACAGCTCGCTGCAGCCCAGAACCCCCGGGCTCAAGCCGTCCGCCAGCCTCAGCCTCCCCGGCGCTTGGATTACAGGCACAAGCCACCGTGCCCGGCTGGCTGCAGCTCTCCAGCACTCGGAGACCAGCTCCTCCAGCCTTGCCGTGGCAGCCAGGAACTCAGGCAAGCTGGATTCACTAATGCTTCAGCAGCACAGTGGGAACACAAGGGAGAAGGAGCATCGAGTAGAGGAATGAAAATTTAGCTTTTCAAGTGAAGATTCAACACAATACTTTGCTTTAGAAAGTCCAAGTTAAGCTGTTGTAGGCCAAAAATTTCACCATCCTGCTCTAGGATGTGTCCAGTGAGAGCTCAGAAGGATTTGCTGAGGAGAGAGTAAGAGGGAACCTGCTCAATGCAGTGAATACTTCCTGATGTAATGAAGTGTTCTGATTCTCAGAGAAGGATATAAAACGTAATTTGAGGGATAAATGCAGGAGCTTCTTGCCTTTTTCCATTATATATAGACATCTGTCTAGAAATACTTCCACAGAGTATTTGAGACCTTCACTGCGTTTTGCCTCTCTCGGAGGCCTGTTCCAAGTGACCTCCCCCAGACACCCCATGAGAGTAACCGTGCAGCTGGACATGGCTGGGGATGCTGCAGGTCGCTCACCTCTGGCTCCACGGAGACCTGTGGCTGCAAGGAAAGCTTAGAGCCAGCGTGTCCAGGCAGCCCAGGCAGGCTGTGGTCTAACCCAGACACGGAGACCGCACTGCTCCTTCCCTAGCAGAGCGAGCCAGAGCTGATCCTGAACTGTGGGAATACAGTGGAAGATTGGCGAGGATTGTAAACACGCTCAAGTAACTTGCAGCTGGAGTGTCAAAAAACACATATATCACACTAATTGTTATTTAGCTCTGCGTGCTTGACTGCGTTTAGATAACACAGGCCTGTGAGAGACTCAGAGGCACCTTATCAAACATCCTTCAGATTCCTGCCCTGCTGTGGGAAAGATCACAGCACAGCAGAAAGCTACCCCTGCGAAAATCCCTGATATACACAGGCAAAAGCAGCAGGTTCAAGATCTTTTCTTCTCCTCTTTCTAGCTAGCAAGGACCAAGCTCGGCGGTGCTCATGCCCCCGCTTGCGTGGCTCTGCCTGGGTTCTGCTGTGGAGATCAGAGAATCACAGAATCATCTAGGTCGGAAAAAACCTTTTAGATCATCTAGTCCAACCATGAACCTCACACCTGGTATCCCAGGTCGCAAGGTAATGAGAATAAATTTACTCTTTGCATTTTGTCTGGGGGTTTGTGGTTGTTCCTGCGTCCTGCCTGTGCTGGCTCACACACAAACCATGCCCTGCCATTGCCAAAATGGCCTTTTTTTTTTTTTCCCCCTCCAGATACATATTGTTTCTTTAGACTTGCTGAGCACTAGCCTGGGGGATCTGTGATGGTTGTGAACATGCACAGTAGAGCAGGGGTCCCCAGACTGCTGTGTCCATCCTTGAAAGCTGTGCAGACCTCCTCTGAGAGCAGCAACAGTCCCTGCCTCCGTGCCAGCTGGGAAGAGCAGAACCAGTTGCTGCGACCACAGTCACTGCCAGAGAGCAGCACCAGCCCAGCCAGAGCCTCCTGCTGCTGCCTCGACCTCACAGGCCCCCTCCGGGCTCTCCTCACCGAGACTGTGG